TATAATTTATTTTTTCAAATTGAATCTCATCTCTTGACTATCTTGGTGTAGGCAAATGAACTTGCTATGGTGTTCGAAGTAATGTTGGATGTAAGTGAGACCAGTGGGAAAGAACAGAGAGGAAATGGTTAAAGAGGTTGTTGTGGGCGGAGCTGTGTGCTAACTGACTGATCAACCAATCACATCCTACCGGCTAACCGAGCACATCGCATCTACCAGCCGTTCAACTTTCGGATCCGCTGCCGCATCCTAGGATAAAGCACCACCGGTCAAAGGAAGCGAACGACCGACCAGCCGCCAACCGCAAAATAAATAAAAAAACAACACTGAATCATTAGTGCAATATCTACACTGTATTTCCAAATCTCGTTGTATTAGACAAACAGCTGATTTGCCGACTCCGCAGACTCGGAGAAAGTTTTTAAAGATTATAAAGACTTATTTTGACATCACATTATAATGGACGTGCTTGTGATTGAAAATATTACTGAATACTCAACATTGTTTCCTGTCCTACTTGTACTACTGCTGTTTGCCTATTGTTAGCATACACTTCTGTTTAAAATGTACGTTTGTAAAAAGCCTGTTTTCTCGACTGTTTATCCGAAACCGCTCTCTTTATCATATTGTCCACTCGAGCAGGTTCGAAACTTATGCTTGTTTTGATTTAAACCTATGAAAACAGATTCTTGTTCTACCAGTCGCTGTCATCTTGCCGCCTGAATAAAAATTCGACTGACTCAGACGCAACGTTTTCATGTCACTCGTTTTTAATTGAGTCTCTTTAATTTCTACCTCATGTCTCAATCGCTCACGTTATTATTCGTATAATAGAAATGTCCTTTGACTTGATCACTCATGTGTAAAGTGCCAAATAGATTCGTATAAAAACTGCACTTTCCGCTTGAACCCTTCATATAAAGGCCAAAGGCATTAATTTAAACCTCAGTAAATTCCAGTCACTTAGTCTTATTTTTGTTCCACAATGACCCCTGGCCAAGATTAATTAATGTATGATGCTCTGTTTCGAATTACTGTAACAGCTTGGTGTGGCTCATCAGGATGGGTGAGTTAAAAGTGAAGGTAAGTAGCATTTCAAGCTGGATTGTTCGGACTTTTGTTCTTGTCACATTGCACGTTATTGTATGTATCTGTGTGCTAGTAGAGCCCGTTTGACTTTAGTTTTTTCACTGGTGATATTAGAACAGTCACATACTGTTCCTGAAACACTTCATCCCGATGTGGATTAGTGCAGTTGTTTCATGATGTCCGTCAAGTGTTTATAAAGTGTGATTTACCTCTTCTCCTCACAGCCTTTCAGTAGAGCTGCACTGACATAAGTCTGTACTCCATAAACTACTCCTTAACGTCATAAACTATACCTTTTATGTTTCTTCCATTTCTTGTGTTACATGCCTCATTTGAAGTACTCCAGTCACCAGCTTATGACTTCTCGTACATGTGTTTTTAATGGGAATGATGAGTGTTTACTTTGAGATTTAGTGAATATAAGCAACTTTTTAAATTCCTTAGTTTCATTGGCTGCCTTTTGCTTAGCATTTCTAATGATCGTTTAAAGGACAAGGTGAACTCAAAATAAGTAATACCAAAATGTCATGTAATTTCAAGATTTTAGGGTAGTGAAAGTTAAATCTAATCATAAGTACAAGATAACAGAAATATGGACTCATATGTAGACATTAAGGTATATGTCAGGAAACCGTGTCATTTGTGTGCTTTGTCTCTGTGATGTAATATTGGTATATTTAGGTATTAATTTAGCTTTTTTTTTTTTCTATACTTGGTCACATAATAGATTTGAAATACATTTTAAATTATTGCGTTTCTAAATGTTTGTTGTACATCACAATGTCAATGTTTGTCTCGATCATTATAATATTTTAGAGTTATGTAAAGACAACATTTTTATTGAAATTGTCCTTGTTCCTTCAGTTTTTTTCCAAACTGTTATGCTGTAAAATAAAATATAACGATTGACTAATGTAGAATTGCTGCACTGATCACCATCCTTTTAACATAAGTGCAGTAGGTCTGTATATAAATTACTAACTTCTAAATAATCTTGAGTTAAAATTATTCAGAGATTTAGCATTTAACTGCTAGTGATTTGCAAGGCAATAACCATCTATTTATAACTGAAAAACAGTTATTAACCACTAATCTGAATATTGTGGTGCAAGGCCGTCCTCCTACAGTTGCAATAAAAGTAAAACAAAAAAAATATATATTTTCTTATTGTTAGTTTTTTGTCCTAGACATTTATAGCACACATGGTACGGTTTTCTGAGAATGACCCATATAAAAATGAACATAAGATTATTTGATTTCAGTCTGATAAAGAATTTCATACAGACAGTAGTAAGTGAAGCCTTGTGTTTGAGTAGGATATCCTGTGACAGCAGATCAAATGTGCAGTTGTGGGAAGTTAGGACTTGTTTATCTGGGCCCGTATTCACAAAACATTTCATCTTACCACTAAAGAGTTCTCCTAAATGGCAGTAAAAGTTTTTAGCTAAGAGTTTTCTCTTAAAACCTATTCACAAAGCTGATGAGACAAACTTCTACTAAGGAATAGAGAGAAGTCTTAAAGGGGTCATAGGATGCTACATGCACTTTTACAAGTTGTTTGAACTGAAATGTGTGTTGGCAGTGTGTGTACACAACCACCCTATAATGATAAAAATCCACCCAGTGTTTTTTTTTTTAATCTCGTAAAATGTTTTCTCCTTTCTCAAATCGAGCCGATATCAGATGCCTGTCTGTGTGACGTCACACAGACAGGCCCCTCCCACGATAGTTTGATTGACAGTAGCGTTTCAGCACAGACTGGAC